AGGGGAGAAGCGCCCTGTCTTCTAAATTATCTAAATAATGTCGATAGTGATATACAACTTCTGGGATTTCATTTTTAAATACCACAAACGCCGGTCTCATTCCTTGGGCCGTTCCTCCGTTATTGATGTTTATTTATTATTCTACTGCTTCTTGTTCCCTGCAAATCTGCTATTTCTAGCTTACCTAGATCTTTATCTGGCTCCGGTAGGATTATAATAAATATTTGTCTTTGATCCGTTCGTCTTTCTCAGATTTAAAAATCTAATCACAGTCCCTACACGTGATCGTGGGTCGTCACATCTGCATGGAATTAACTCTGTGACAGATTTGATCAGTGTAATTAATAAATAATTTACATCAACTCTCCGCATGCATATATACGATTATTATAACCTTGGTTTTTACTGCTTCTCTATTGGCTTCCCAAAGCAACTAAGAAACGTTTAATTGCGCTAAAACTATAGAACCAGTTAAAATAAGACCCCAAAAATACTCAAGACCTTTCGATCAGATGAAATCTTAGGTTGCATTTGTTGTTTGTTTGGGGGGGGGGGTTTGAAGAGGAAGAGGGTTTTTGGTTGATTTAATTTTCTTTATCCAGCCTAGCTATGACCATTTCAGTAATGATGTTGATGGGGAAAAATACCAAAGTCGTCAGCATAATAGTCTGTCAGTCCATTTGTCAGTCTGTATGTCTGTCTGTCTGTCTGTCTGCTGTCTGTCGGTGTGTCTGTCTTTCTATTTGTTTGTCTGCCTTTCTATCTGTCCTTCTATCTGCTTTTTATCTGTCTGTCTGCATGACTTTCTGATTATCAATATCATATCTCTGTCTGCCTTTCTATCAATATGCCTCTCAATCTGTATGTCTGCCTCTTTGTCTGCGGGTGTGTCTATCTATCTATCTATGTATGTATCTATCTATCTATCTATCTATCTATCTATCTATCTATCTATCTATCTATCAATCTATCTATACATTAACTCCCCAGTCCCTGGTTCCACTCATCTATTTATCTATCTATCTATCTATCTATCTATCTATCTATCTATCTATCTATCTATCTATCTATCTATCTATCTATCTATCTATATATCCATTAACTCCGCAGTCCCTGACTTCACTAAGTCCATACTGCTCGCGTTGCACCTTTAAGTCCATCGTTTCCTCTCAAAATGCGCCCCCAAGGAACCCCCATTCCCACCTACCTCGGTATAATGTGCCATCTGCTAATGGACCGCTCTGGTCAGAGCGCAAAGTGCTTTCCGGTTTTTAGTCGTCCATTCCATCGCCCCTAGTGTACATTTGGTGACCCTGTTATAAAAAGAGTTTGTGGCATACCACTCACGCACATGCACTCTCACAAACATGCACGTACATCTGTTTGCTTGTGTATATATACATGTGAGCTGGAGAGAGTATTAAGATAATGTAATTTTTTTTTAGATATGTACAAGCTTGCAAATGATAGTCCTGTATATAAATGCATTATTATACAATACAAGCAAAACACGCACACATATACAAACACACACACACACACGCGCGCGCGGGCGCGCGCGCACGCACACACAT